CAGCAATGTAGTCCGATCAAACTTTATCTATGTTGAAAAACAGGATGTGTTTTATATTGTATTTTGACTTGCGGGTGGAAACGGAACCAGACTGATGGTCCCGAGAATGGACATGAGTCGGAGCCATAAGGCTCCGTTTTCCTATTAAAAAAAACAAACAGGAAAAAAGGATGTTCCAAAAAATGACGTATAAAGAGACAATCTTTCTAAAGTCAGTCAACCACATCGTAGCCTTTCCGGTTATCGTAGTTCCGACTTTTTGGCGCGTATTGCCATGTACAAATCATCCAAGGGAACCACATCGTAGCCTCTTTCCGGTTATCGTAATTCCGGCTTTTTTGCACGTATTGCCATGTACAAATTATCCCTGTGAGGACCACAAGCTGCACAATGCTTTGGTGCGATGTTGGAGGGAAATTGGCATGAACACAGCCAGTTTTGCGACTAGGTTATCCGTAATATTGGGGGGGGGAGTAAAAGAATCAGTAAAACTGTAAAGTGGTTATCTGATGCGACGTAGGAACAGGCTGCAAAAAAAAAAAAAAAATGTTGAATCGTTGTTGATTTGTATAATACTATAAAATGATATGCTGAATGTGTAAAATAAAAAGAGCAGCTAGGAAGGCTACTCAAATTAACTGTACGAACCTAACTAGGTTTGTGTGCTACACCGCAGGGGATGATCTGGCAGGATAAGACGGAACCTTAAAGTTTTCTAGGAATAAAGATTAATCATTTAGGTCCTTCGCATTCAAGGGCTGCTCAAGTATTTTGGCAAAGATGGTAGCTAAGCTAGGTGCTTGGACCAACATTTATAGTAATTTTAATATTTTATACATCGGCTTGACTTTTTGGAAAGGGCTCTCTCATATTAAATGCATCCATTGTCCGAGTGTCGTGGTATGCTGCTACAGTATGGTCCCCAAATTCTCAACTCGAAGCTAACTTAAACCAGCAGTACATAAACTGGAGGACCTGTTTTGAGCCTCTCCTAAAATTTAGGAGGTCGGGCGCCGTAGATAAAATGAATCGGCGGCGGACACTCTTGAATGCCGTGTTCCCCATTTTTCTTCGTTGTACTGCTTTCTTGTACGTACGTGGCCGGTGACTCAGCCCATGTTCTCTCTGAATACTTTTGTCAGTAACATTCTCCAATCAACTCCGTCCTTGAATGATACAGAGAATGAAGATAGCATGGCCCTGTGCAAGGACGACACGAATAAATCGAGAAATGGTAAAAAAAAAAAAAAAAAAATCCTTACCCCGACCTCTTGGGAAGTCCCGAGGCGAGGTCCCACTAGCGGAGACACGGGGAGGGAGAGAGAGAGAGAGAGAGAGAGAGAGAGAGAGAGAGAGAGAGAGAGCTGTTGGATGATCGTGGCCAGGATTTTTGTCAGATGCTTTCCAGCTAATTGCTGTTCGTTATGCCAAGGACATAACCCACAGATAGAGGGCCTGATGGGCTGCAGCTGTTTGTTAGGCCCTAGCCACACTACTCACCAAATCTGAAAAGGAGAAAAACAGCAGGAGATACATTCTCATTTTGCACATAGGGTGAGTAGTGTGGCAGTGCACGTAGGGTGTTACATCTTCGACTCACACGGGTCCTACCGGACCCGACTTAGGGCCGGAGGGACACACCAGGGCCTAAAGGCCCGACCTTTTGGGGTTACAGGCCCTAAAGGCCTGATTTTGGACCAKCACCCATCGGGTAGGCCCAAACGACACTTCGTTTGGGCCTGGCGGCGCTCTTGAAGCTGCCGCCCGCCGATTGAGGCTGAACCGTCCATCTGGACGGTCCAGGGTCTGGCCTGGCCTCGCAGCATTGAGGCCAGACCATTGCCTACCGGTATAAGTACGGGTATCCTGCCTCAGTTGGGGATCGGCCTACCGGAACTCTACCGGCACGGCATGGTCAGTACCAGTGTACTGTTTTATGCGCTAAACTTAGCGCAGGGGCTGAAGCAGGAGCGCAGCATAGCGCAGCTTAGCGCAGCAGCGAGCGGAGCAGCAGCAGGGCGACTGAGCCAGCACGGCGGCCATTGCCGCCTGAGGTACCGGGAGCTTGGAGGGTGTCTCCTCCTCTCCCTCGCCAGTCCCCTCTCTCTCTCTCTCCTCTTCCTCCTTCTTCTTCTTCTTCTTCTTCTTCTTCTTCAGATTGGAGACTATCCAGTTGGACAGAGATCAGGGTTGGATTTCGGTGATACGAGACTGTGGTACTTACCTGATTGGAGACTTATAAATTGTTGAGGTTGATACTCGGCTGCATCACAGTTGGACACCGGTTACATCTGGACTCTGTTATCTCCGACATTGGT